CCCCCATCGCCGTGACTCTAAATACGAGTTCTTCGTTCCTATAATTCCTCCATGAGTGATGCTAATAAAAAGTAACCTTCTACAAAAATACCGGATAGTTCGAAAGTTTAGTCAATAGTTTTGATGAGACGTTGATAATGCACTATAATAAATTTGTCCTAAATATTAAATTTGACCTGCTCGAAATAAAACATAGCTCATGAATCATGATAGAAAATTTTTAGAGGCCCATTAAACACAATTATGACATTTAAATCGTTTTAATGTAAAATCGCAATTCATTGCGTGCAAAAACTAGCATTTCTGTGTGTGCAACGTATGCATCTATCAAATTAGAGTCACATCCAAGAATATTATTAACGCTGATTTTATCTTAATGAGCAGTTAAAACAAGAAACATCATAATGCACCTTTACTGCTTTGCGTGAGCTACAAGCGCATCCATTGACCATAATTGTAGCCAGGCGTTGTTGTAGGCCCACACAATTATTAGCATAGCCATGGCCGGATTTACCTACTTACCGCTAATGGGCCGCCTGTATTTTGCCGCCCTCTTCTCATTCATTTTGAAACATCAATAAAAAACCATCAAGTGAACGTACCGGAGGGAAAAGGGTGCATAAAACGCGTTCACTCGTGTTGGACACATTTTTTACGTAAGCCCTGTCAACGCTACTAGCTAAAGTTCACGGAACTTCGCGCGAAAGTTTAGTTCCGTAAACCTATCTCTGTGGGGACAAGGCCTTTCATTTGTAAGAAATGAACGAAAAAATTAAGAAAGAACAAACATAAATGTGGTTTAATAATTTTAACTTCCGCCGCCGTGCCGCGCTGACCACACTGTGTTTGGCGCAATGCGTGAAGTATTCATGCAGTCTTGTAGGCACTGTGCGTTTCACGCCGCGCCGACCGCTGTTGACCGTTCTGTGTTTGACGCAATGCGTGAAGTATTCATGCAGTCTCGTAGGCGCTAATATGTGTTACATGCCGACCGCCGCGCTGAGGGCTTCTCCTTTTCATCTCAAGTTCTCGTCATCATTTCTCTTTGCGCCGCGCCGCTCGGGCTCGGCTCTACCGCGGAAAATCCGAAATTGAGTTGTTTGACCAGGAAAAGGGATCGAAAAGGCTGTAATTTGAGAGAATCTATTTAAGCACTTGTCAAATACTAGATAGAGATATATTAGTTGGTTAAAAGATAAAGGAATCTTACCCCCAAAGAAGTTATTTGTAAACATCATTTTTGAAGATTTTTTTCCCCGATTATCCGCGGATATTTGAGACCACTGGCGGATCCAGCAAATCGGCAACATAGTTTTTTCCCCTTTAAACCTATGGAAATGTAACGATTCTTGGAGGGGCCAGGCAGGTGCTCCGACAAGAATCGATTATTCAACATAGCTTTAAATGAAGGAAATCCGATGTTGCCAAATTGCTGGATCCGCCTCTGATTGAAACTATACCGCATGTTTTTCTTCCTTGACAAAAATTCAAATTTTTGTTACAGTGATAAAAATGCAAATTTTCCAAGTACTCTCAAATCTATGGCCAAATTGCGGAATTTTCTTAAAAACTTCTTTGATTTTTCTACTCTTTTAGCTTTAGCAGAATATTCTACAGAAATTTCAAACTTCACAGTTGGCTTGTTTCTCTTCAAAAAAATTAAATAGGAGCGGAAATTTTGAAACACCGAAATTAAGATACGTGGTTTCGCACCTTAGCCATCGAAATGCAATATATTCAATTTTTCATTAAATTTAAGTAAATGTACCTATCAAGTTTTGATAAAGATAAATTTCAACCTCCACTTCTTGAACATCTTTTCCCCCTTTATTCTATTCTGTAACACCAATCTTGCTAATTTTCTTTCCAGATATACCTTCTTCCTGATACTCCACCCGAGATGAGTGCAGTCGCTGATGATAACGCAGAGGAGAAATCCGAGCAATGGACAGAAAATAACTTGGGCAATGGCAGCCTCATGATCACATTTAAGACAGAAAAGGAATCTGAAGATGAAGCTGATGATGAGGATGCTTACGAAGAAGAACCATTGGACCCAACTGATTATTTGGAAACCAATCACACCACTGAGGAATCCAGCAAGAATGATCAAGAATATCTTCCATACGATGACTCCGCACTGGAGGTGAAAATAAAGGAAGAGCCACTTGAATATCCCGAGTCTGTTTTGCCCGATATTCCTACCGGAGAGGAAGTAACCCAAACTAAAATCAAAGAGGAGCCCGACTCAGATGTTGAATGCAACGGAGAGTTCATATCGTGCGATGCAACAGAAAGTGAACAGAATTACGAGCTACCACCCATTATTCCAGATTCCATTATCCACAGATGCGACAATTGTCGAGGCGAGTTTGACTCGGAACAAGACTTAGAAACACACCTCCAGGAATGCTCCAAAGAGGTAGCCATGAAAAACGCTATCAAAGCTCGGCTGAAACTGAAACTAGGACTGAATGTTGCCGCCCCGTTGGGGCTCTTACATTTGATGCCGGAGAAAGAAGTCGAGGAAGAGAAAAATCCTGCCGTCCATGGAAACTGCAAACCGCTGCCCGGGAAGAAGTATGGCTGTAATCTGTGCGGAGCGACATTCATGAACCGCTCTAACGTCCGCGTTCACAAGGTGTTGAAACATTCCAGCGATCGCAAGTTCGAGTGCAATATCTGCAACGCTAAATTCAAAATCAAGTTCATCCTTCAAAAACACATCAACACGAAACATTCCGAGATTAGGAACTTCTGCTGCACCCAGTGTGAGGCCAAGTTCAAGACGAAACACGAGCTGATCAGTCATACCAGGTTCAAACACACCGACGAAAGGAACTGGGAGTGTAGGATCTGCGGGTCCAAGTTTAAAACAAAGGCACACCTGCAGGCTCACGAAAGCAATAGGCATACTAAAGTCCGCAATTTCAAATGTGATATGTGCTCTGCGACTTTCAAATCGAAAGCTGCTCTCAACAGGCACTTGAAATACAACTCGAGTAAGCTGCATTCCAATGTTACGGTGTTTGAATGTACTTTGTGTAACATGCGATTCAAGGCAGAGCTCCCGATGAAACTGCACATGGCAATGAGCCATTCGACAGAGCAAGAACAGGAGTCATCCTGAAATTGAAATTTAGCTCAAAGCTTTATTAAGACCATTTGAAAAATGTTGAACAAAATGAAAGCTACTTGCATTTCTAATTAAGCTTTATGTACAGGTATGCCCATAAGCTCGTATCGAAAAATAGATATCCCTCTTTCCCTTTCTCAAGTTTTTAAGACAGTCCATAGTGGACTGTTAGTCTAATTTTTAAATGCGTATTAAAAATCCATGAAAAATTCAGAGAAGAACTACTGCAAAAATTACTCTTGGCTGGTAAATCTGGCACATTAATCTATTTAAATTTTTTTCTCTCTTTTTAAAATTACGAAATAGCAGTGTTGTTGTTATTGTTGTACCTTGTTTGTTTTTTCTTTTTTTTCAAGTTTTTGGAGTAGGAAAGGAAGTATCATCCCAGAAAATTTTAACCATTCTTGACTAATGCCTTTCAAAATTAAATGTTGTCTCAAGGCAATTTTCTGTCCTTTGAAGATTATTTCCGTGAGGCAAAAAATGGCAAGATATTCTTTCTTGAAGGTCAAGAATTCCGACATTTTAGAGATGTACAGATAAATCTTTCTTTGTCTTTCCTGGCAATGAAATATTTTTGAACTTCCAAAGGTACTTAATTGCGGAAGCTCCGCCATGAAAAGTTTTAATAACTTCAAATCCAGGGCGCAAGAAGGTCAAATCCAAAAGTTAAGGATACATGATAATAATTGATTTGGCTGAAGAGATGTCTAGTTGGTATGATAGATTAAAAAAAAAAAAAAAATCCCCCCTTTCTCAGCTGAAGTCAAATTATTACACACACATACACTCCAGAATTTTCTGAGCCTTTTTGGGTTTAAAATTTACTTTGGATGAACTTCGAAGTCAAATAATATTCCTCTCATTCCATTGTTACCTGTCTCTTTCACTTGTAGTTCAATGATCTTCATTTGTATTTTTTCTTTAGACTGGAAACGTTTTTGATGCTAAATTTTGACTGTTCGGATCCCTTAAAATTTTGCATTTTGTGTTTTCCACAGTAATTAATGAAACACGAGTTAAGTTCGACTTTAAATTTACTACCTACTAGATAATTTTAGTTGTTTTGAAATTTCAAATTTAAATGTATTATTCCTGTAGTCAATTGTTGATTTACCTGTTTGTCTTTTTATTTTTTGTTGACATTCTTCCGCTATTTAACGATAGTTCTTGGTCAACACTCAAGATTTCATCCTAATTTGAAAATCTGCCATCTTACAAACTTATTGGCATGAGGAACAAGAAGAAAAATTTCTTCTGACATCGTAAGAAATTCAGAGGATTCACTCTCCCAGTCAAGCTATGCCTGAAAATCTGAGTGTTGACAAAGAGCACACGCTAAACCTAAATTATATGTTTGACACAATTTGTTACTCCCAAAGTTTAGACATTACTTTTTGTTGTGTTACTGCCTTTTATTACGAAGTTACTATGCGCTGGATTATAGACCCTTATAATTTTAGTCAAATTTTAATTGTTTTGTCTCATTGTCTGTTTCTATGACCCTTCATTGTTTAAATAGACCCTTTCCCTTTTCTGTCTATTTGTTTCGTTTTGTTTTGTTTTTTTTTTTTGTTTTTTTTTTGAAAAAAAAAAGAATGCATTTGATTTATTCAAAAGTAGGGGACAATGTAGCAGGTGACTATGAAAAAATTGAACCTGGTGAAAAGATTTCTTTCCTATTAATTTAATTCACTGTCTTGAATAAGACCTACCCTTTTGCTATTTTTATTAAATATTTTACATATAGGCTCACATCTTGGTCCAGAAACAATTTTTTTCTCTCTCTCGCCTTTTTGTCTTTTCAATAAATTTGAGACTTGCCCATGATGATGTAACAGAAAACTATGCAATTATTCGATTAATAAAGTAAACTTTGTAATTTTTATTTTTTTGTCTTCCATTCTTTATTTTAGTTTTGCTAAACACAAATTCCTTTAATAGACTCCTGAATGTAATGCATTAGAATACTATAGAATCAATGATGAAACAATTCTAAGAAAAGAAAAGAAGAAAAAAACTGCTTCAGCACAATATTCAGTTAATAAGTGGATTCAGGGAAATTCCTGGCAAAAGAATTACTAAAAATCAACACCGAAAGTTCTGGAGCAGTTATTTATTTCAAAGAAAATTATAAAAGAGAGAAGCTTACAAGGAAAAGTTTCTCTGTGAGAAAATTAAATGCATTTACTCTGCGCAATAGAACAGAAGCTGGCATGAAAACATGCACAATTTTAAGTAGAAAAAAAAAGAAAAAAAATCAACCACTAAGGTACATATCACAAAACCTAACGGAAGAAAAAAATTAGAAAACATAGTTAAGTAGAAAGTTAAATTTTTGATATTAGTTACCAGAGTTATTGAGCTTATATCTATATCACATTATTGGCTGATGAAATCAACTTCTATGAATGTTTATTCGGTGGCATCAGCTTTAGCTACTGAGAAGGGTTGGTCAACTTTCTCATGACCACAGTCAACAATGATAACATCTTCGACAGGCCGGTCTTGTCTATCAGTCTTTGTTTGTTCTATTTTCCGGACTGAATTCTGAAACAGAGAAGAGCACTTTTCATCAAGACTATGAACAAAATAATTTGATTTCCTTTTGTTGAGATTCTTACTTTGGCATTCTTGACAAGAGATCCTACAACTGCGTACAGTCTATCATGAACAAGTTTACCAAATTTTTGAGGTCCACTGAGATTATGCAATATTCACTTTAGCAGGCAAGAACTAGGATTGCAGATCTTAAGTGTTCACTCGATGAATGAATCAGTCCACTTATTTGGTTGGGTGAATTTTTTCTTTCTTTTTAACTAGCTTTTGATAGGTATGATTAATATTTCTTTAAAAAGCACTTTAATCTGAAACTTACCCCCGATTAGAATTACTTTATTTAACCCTAATGTGCCATTATTTTAAACAAATATACAGATACCAATGGCAATTACTGGGTACCTAATGAAAGATAAACCAAACAGATAACTTGCAGATGTTTGTTAATTTTTGGTTTTAATGATTTGTTATTTTGAGGTCTGGAGAAACTTTACTTCGGATCTAAGATGACCTCTATGCTGACAAAACCTGTATCGCACCTCCTCAGGGAAAAGAGTTTCTACAGGTGTTATCAAGTGTACAACTGGTCACAATAAACTTCTTGGAGTTTTCATGTATTAGGTATGGTTCCCCAGGTTTTAAATCTAATCTAATCGAAGACAACCTCTTGATGGGTCAGAAGACCTGTAAACATAGTACTTACCATTCCTTTCAAAATCTTTCCGAAAACAACATGGCGTTTGTTGAGCCAGGGGGTCTGTTTTGTGGTAATGAAAAACTGAGATCCATTGGTATTTTTTCCAGCATTGGCCATAGATAACCATCCTGCACCATAGTGTTCCAATTTGAAGTTTTCATCTTCGAACTTGTCACCATAGATACTGCGACCTGAAATCAAAAGGAGAATGTATTTTAAAAAGCTTTGCTGTTGACAAAGAATCGTTTTATTACATTTAAAGCTGATACAACAAATTTTATAACTGTTCAGAGGGACAAAATATATATGATTTTGCAATTACGAGAAGCAGATCAGACTGCTGCAAACATGAGGATATTTTCAAAAACATTTTGCCATGCTTTTTAAAACAAGTTTTATCCCAGGTGCAGAATCCACAGGGTGTCTAGTTTCTTTTCATTTTGGGGAATCCTGATTTTTCCTGACTTTTGACAGCTAAATCCTGATTTCGTAATTTTTCCAAATCCTGATCAAATCCTGGTTTTTTGCGGAGAAAAAGAGGCGAATGTAACCTCACAAAAGTAGCTCCATAAAAAAATCCCATCCGACGATCGATTTTCTTCAAATCCTGAGGAAATCGAGATTAAACCCTGATTGACCTCAAATCCTGAAAGAATCGGGAAAATCCTGATTCTTGACACCCTGATCCAGGAAGCCATTTTGAAAAGTATCGTGTTCTATGGTTGTAAAGTGTGATCTTTGCCCGCGGAAAAAAAAAAAAAAAAAAAAGCAAGTAACACAATATGTTGAGGACAACTGAAACAGATTTTTAGCGTTCTGCTGACATCCTGAGAAAGAACCTTGTCTATAGTGAAAGAATTCCCGAGATAATAAAGGTTAAAAGTATTTTACAACAGGTTTTGGGGCATACAGATTGTGCCCTTGATTTAATCTTTAGTTTTAGCCCTTGGAGATGCAAACGGGCCTGTTGCAAACTTCTGCTAGAGCAAAAATAATGATAATGTCTTATAGATAATGTCTCAAAAATCACGATGAGCGCATCGGCAAACTCTGGAATGCAGTCCTAATTTCAAAATCTGCATAAGAAATGTGCGTTTTTTTAAGCTTCCCGCTTCAAAAAGGATACTACAGCACAGGTGAACATTTGGTTAGAGGAGTCGTTCTATTCAATCCCTGCTCAACACGGCTGAAGCTTCGAACGTAAGGTAAGAAGAGCACGAGGTCAATCAAGGCGGATATCTATCAACGTGAGAAAAATTTAAATGTAAACACGCCGATGATTGTTATCAGGTGGTTGGATTCATCATCCTGTCACATGCATTTTAGCGGATTGGTGTCAGCTATGTTGAATATTACGTAGTATCCTTGTGAGCAGGGGTTGGATGGAATGACTCCTCTAACGAAATGTTCACCTGTGCTATGGTATCGTTTTTAAAGCGGGAAGCTTGAAAAAACGCACATTTCTTGTGCAAATTGCGAATTAAGGAATGCATTTCAGACTTTGCAGATGCGCTCATTGTGATTTTTGAGATACTTTCTATGAGTAACAACCCTTACTTTTGCTCTAGCAAAAGTTTACAACAGGCCCATTTTGAGATTCAGAGACTTGCAAAAAAACCACAGATCCAAACTTTAACTTACCACCAGTTCCATCTCCTCTGGTGAAGTCGCCACCCTGGATCATGAAGTCCTTAATCACCCTGTGGAATTTGCTTCCCTTGTAGCCCTCGCCTTCTGGTTTCGTAGCGAGCTGCTTGAAATTCTCGACAGTCTTCGGGACGGTTCCACCGAATAATCCGATCCAGATTAGTTCTGGGAGTTCTTCCTCCCCCATCTTGACTTTGAACCAAACCTAGAATGAGAAATTATTATGATCAGATGATAGGTATAACAACTTTTGGATGAGAAATTTTTCTGTTAAATTCTCCCTTTTGTTTTATTTCACCCCTTAACTTCTCAGTTATGAATGGCTGCAAGAAAGAAAGTCAACTGCTAAGTTCCGCAGAGGGTATAGAATAAATTTCCGTCTCATTTAACTCAGAATCTCTACAGAAAATTCTGCAATAATCAATATTTTAATCTTGCAAAAATGTTAAGTGCTTTCAGTATGTATTCGTGTGTTGAAAGTCTGATTCAAAACAAATAATCTCCACTTTTACCTGACGGAGCTGTCCCGCGGAGGATGCTTTGCCACTTGCAGTGCCTTGATTTACATACTCATCAGCCGAAACTATCATGAGCCAGCCGGTACATTCATTCATAAATTACGCAACAGTAGAGAGGTTGGCCATTGTTCTGATGTAAACAAAGAGTGACCCGCGACAAGGCCAAAATGTGCAGAATGTTTCCATTACATCAAATTGAAAAATCATATTGAATATCAAATTAGAGCATTGAACTCCACATAGATTCAGCAGCATTACAGAGCAAACTGCAAATGCCACGTCTCGCTAACCAGAAACAGAGCATAAGGATGCTTCCTCGAAGCTAAGTTTGCTGATAAGACCAACTCAACAAGGAGGGTAACAAAGCTGAGAATTTGGGAAACTGCAGTTATAACTTATCTTTCTGGAGCTAGTCTTCTAAACGTATTTAAAATGAGCTTAAAACTTCGGATAACTTGCCTTATCGGTAACTTTAGGTCCTGATTTCTTCGGATCTTCGGCGGCGTTGGAGATGACGAACAAGACGCACAAAGTGATGAGAGAGAACAGCAATCCGACCTGAACTTTCGGGTTCTTCATGATTGCTTTGAGTTTCCTGGAGTACAGAAGGAAAATTGTGGTCACAAGTGTGGCGACAGGATGCAGAGAACTTGGAAAATTCGAAATTTAAGTAGTAAAGCCAAGTGGTCGTGGCCGATTGGTGTCCTCTCCCGTTCACTAACCTCTGCTCGGAGATGTTTTGTGTTGATTTGCTGGCGCTTGGGAAGCGATGGTGCCAAACTATGTTATTTTCATTTTTATTTCAAGACAAAGCAAAGACGCGGACGGTTTTTACTTTTTTTTTTCTTTAAAGTTATCATAAAGCACAAGCATCTTTCAAATTCTTCGACTGAGGATTTACAATCTTGATTTTCGCACTTATTTCAGAGAGCGTCGCCGCTCGCCGGTGGCTACATGGGGCGCCTACACTTTAGTGTATATGCAACCTGGGTACCCCTCGAAGTACGAATAGTTGTATCCTTTCCATGAAGGCGTTTCAATCGACGTCGCTTTTCTTCGGTCACAGAGCGCAACGCAACTACAAGCGCATGATTCGGTTAATTTCGTTCTCATGTGGTTGAAACACTTTTTTCGTTCTTCTGACTCCCATGGTTTTCTATTCATTGTAAAGGTTGAAGCGTGACTTTTTTCGACAAAGCGCCAATGTCCTTAATGAGAGGTATGATATAAGAGAAATCTACAGGCGTAGAGCATTCCGCTCCTCATAGCACGCATCTTTCACAATTTTCTTTGAAAAACGTCTGATTCGCTCATGAGGAAGATCCGTACACAAAATTATGTATTATGCCGTCAAGAAAGTTTATTAATAAAAGAACCACCTAATCGGGGAGGAAGGGGGGTGGGATATCCCACACTTCCGCTACTGGCGCTGTCCTTCATTAGCCTTTTTTACAAGATGGGATGCAGTGGCGAGGCGTGAATGATTGACTATCGATATTTCCCCATTTAAAACTGTATTAAAGAATCGATAATTGAGGTGTTCGTTGCGAACACCTCTTTATCGATAGTTTTGCCTAGGTTTAAATGGCAGATCAATCGATTTATCGCAAAGCACGCCACGCCGCTGATGGGATGGACAAGTTTCATGTCAGTGAAAAGGAACCGAACTTAGTCTCTTACTCAGAGTGGCAGGAAACGAAAGAAACATGAATGATATAGAACATTTCTGGGAAACACTCTTTTCTTGACATTTCCCAAGGCTGTGAAATTTACGGGCGATAAGTGTGAAACATTTATTTCAGGGGCAAAGTATGCAATACGCATCCGAAACACCAAAGTATGCATGAACCTTTGTATTCTCCTCATATTTATCTCGAATTTTCTTCATTTTTCCATTCGTGGAGAAAAATATGGTACCAAATTTTATTTTTAACATTTTATTTTATATTAATTTTTTAATCAAACCTTGTTTAAAAATAATATCTGGAAAATTTCAATGATTATTCATTTTGAGGCTGATAATCTGAAAAAAAATTAAACCTGTAGGTTTTTCATGAATTTTGGAAATTTTCGAGGTATTTCACGTGAAATTTCACAATTTTCAATTTCATGATTTACCACCCTCGTTTGGGATGGAGGAAATAAAAAAATTGGTGCCTCGATTTGATCTACAGAACTCCAGCGCGCCGTTTCCACCTGTTTAATCACATGGGGAAGGGATAGACAATCCAAGTAGAACAGGTTGCAATTTATTGCACTTATACTTAGCTCAGCTCTTGCATGTTGTTTACGTACTTCAGAAAACACATGGCAGGAAATGAACACTGCCAAAAGCATTGAAGCGCACTATGATTTAGGTGCGTACTCTCAAGTTTTTCTTGCCAATTCAAAATTATTGATATTGCATCGGGGTGTTGCGTATAGAATGTTGCCTACTCAATAATTGAAGGGGCTCCTTCAATTGAAGTGTAATTCAATAAAATTGAATTTAGTTGCCACTTTTTTGCATTGCATATTACTAGATACCATTCTCACACATACGGAACTCATATTTTTATTGATCATTTAAACTCAGGATTAATTGATCAAATCATGTAAATATATTGCGATTTGATGATTCAATTACAATCGAGGGGCTTGGGGGGCAAGACGCATGCGTGCAGTTTTTGCTATTTCGAGAAATACGTGTTTGAAGTTTTGAAATTACATGGATCTTTGTGGAGGGAAGAAAGTTTAAACTGATTTTTCTGCTTAAAAATTGGGATTTGGAAGCGAATTTTCCCAGAAGCATTAAGACTATTTTTATTTGAAATCATCAATATCTCAATTTTTTCAAAAACTGCACTTATACGCATTGTCCCCCAAGTCCCTCGATTGTCATTTCATTGCCTTATAAAGTGGAAAATTATCTCACTCTCCTCGTTGTACTGTGCTTCTTGGGTTCCTACTGTTAATAGTCTGAGATCTAATGATATCAAAAGCGACTTGGCAACAGCGTACGCTGAAGCGCGAGAAACCAGTCTTGAGCTTGAGTCTCTGCTGAAAAAAAAAACAGTAAATATAGCGTAGAGGGGTTCGAGAACTCGAGACGGGAGGAGAAAATAAAACAGGAAGAACGAGACCATTTTCATCAGATCGGACGATCGACCACACAGTCGTGTTAAGGAAAAACGCCATATGAGCCATTAGACGTTGCCAGATTTACTTCAATTAAACCCGAATTTTCTTGGAATATTGCGAACATTTTTCTTCAAAATTTTCAGATGATGCTGTTCGCGATTTGATCTAAAATATCTGAAAATGTCAAAGAGAAATATATATAACTTTCCTAAAAAATATGTGTTTTATCTAGAGAAATTTGGCAACTCTCGGATGTTCATACGACCTTTTTCCTTAGCGCGGCAGTGTCGGACTCGCCAGAGGATCTCGTATGACTTCATGGAAGATGAGCCGGCAGAAGCGACAGGAATAGCCACTAAAATTTTCAAGGTTCCACCTCGGAATCAGAGGTCACGGCTACCGCCTACCACGGTCATCGGCCTGACCTCATCCATGTAGAGATGGGTCGCCAAACAAGATCGTTGCCCCAACTAAGGAATCCCTTTTGTTTCATCTCGGAGGTCGGAGGGTGGACGGAGTGAGGGTTTCTCAAAAATTATTATTTCTTCATTTCCACTATAGTGAAGGGAAGAATGCATCTGAGGATCCGCCCCGCCCCCCTCTCAAGTAGCGGTGATCGCGATAAGTTGCGATTTGATCAAAAAATGTATCGCGCGATTTTATAGGCGTCGACTTTATGCGATATTAACGGATGAAAAATTGCGATTCATCACATTTTGCAATGAAATCGCGATTTTATCGACGGCGATTGAACGCAATATTATCATCGAAATCGAACAAAAAATCGCGTGAGAAATTGAGATAAAATACCAATTTTATCGTTATTATTGCGACAGGGTTGGGGATTAATCGATCAGATGTGAATGATCCAAGCGATCATATCACCAAAAAATCGTGAGAGAAATCGCAACTTAAATTCAAAATATCACGAGTTTTTTGTTGAAAAATGCTATTTAAGCTTGATTCTTCTCTCACTGTGGTCTTGAAGCAAAAATAAATTGTGACAAAAACGTACCCAAAAATGGTTTGCTAGGGTCGATGGTACTGTGTCGACTTAAATCGCGAAAAATCAAAATCTTGGCTGATCCTAATTTCGAGGTATCGCAATTTGAAATTTGCAAAGTAAATGCAAGTTTTTTACTGATTTTGATCAGCTTCTTTATTTATTTGTCCATCATTGAATCGGTGTTGATCGATTCACGTTTTTATTTTTCGTTCGATTCATGTCGATCGAGCACATCGTTGCACGCAGACTACCTATTCATACCCTTTTTTTTTAACTGAACAATACGCCTTCTGCTGCGCCTGCAGCAATTGTTGTTACGAATATGTTGTGCGTGCTAATTTCAGCACATTACATACTCAACTCTCTGAAGGCGTTTTATGTGCGCAAGTAGCGCGATCTGTCGGAGAACGAACGAAGTAGGGTTTGAGCGATTCATTCAATCTCACTCCGTCGTTCCCCGACAGACTGCGCTACTTGCGCGCATAAAACGCCTTCAGAGAGTTGAGTATGTAATGTGCTGAAATCAGCACGCACGACATATTCGTAAAAACAATTGCTGCAGACGCAGCAGAAGGCGAATTGCTCCGTAAAAAAAAAGAGAATGATAGGTAGTCTGCGTGCAAGGAGGGGGTATGTATTCGATCGAAATGAATCTTACGCGGATGAAAAACACGAACCGATCAACATCGATTCAATGGTCAGTAAATAAAGAAGCGGATCAAAATCAGTAGAAAACTTGAATTTACTTTAAAAATTTAAAATTGCGATACCTCGAAATTAGGATAGCCAAGATCTTCATTTTTTGCGATTTTGTCCACGCACGTACTACAAAGTAGCCCCCTGCAAACCATTTTTGGGTACATTTTCGTCGCATTTTATTTTTTACTTTTTGCTTCAAGACCACTGTTCCCTCTGTGAAAAGAATGCGAGTGGTTCGAGAGACACTGCATTTTGCAATGAAAAATCTGGGGCAAATGTTGCGATTCAGTGCAATAAAGTAGGAATTTATTTACCATGGAATTGCAATTTTGTACGTTAAGTATTTGATCGATAAATGCCGATTTTAAACGATCAGCGAGGTGAATTCCATGTGTCAGAAAGATTAACAATTTACAACACAAAAAAAAAGTCCAACTTAATTCAATGTCATTGTAATTTATTCCGATGAGAGGAGCCCCTTCAATTAGAAGATAGGCAGCATACACTACACTCCGGTACAGTTGCGATGATTTGGACCGCGTTTAGCAGAAAGGAACTAAGCCACATCAGCTGTAGTGCCAAATTTAACTGGGCACTTTAATTTTTAACAAGGAAACGTTTGTGCGGATTCCTTTGAAAAGTTAAAGGCATTTGCTTCGTACTATGCAAAAAATTCACTAAAATCTTCACGAAAATCCACACAACCGTTTTCATAACAAAAAATTAAATTGCCCAATTACATTTGGCGACAGCTGATGTGACTAGGTTCCTTCCTGCTTAACGCGGTTCATTTTACCATACAATCGCAGTCTATGCAACTCGGGTGTTGCTGCTTCTGAGCAACGCAGCCACGTAAAATAACTATTATTCTCTGATAAACACGAAGGCTAAACCCCGTAAAGGCCTTGTCTCGACGGCACTTCTCTTGGGACTTTGTCCTCAGGAAAAATCTCACTTGCGATCTTGGGAAAAATATTGAGTTTGTCAATACTAATCACAGTACAAAGTAGAGTCCTAAGAGCGACTCAGAGAGAAGAAGAGGAAATTTTGCTGTTTTGTTCAACAGGGAAAAAGCCTAGAAGTTTTCATTCCCGCGATTTTCAAGTCCATGTCCTTTCCACGTTCACGTACGACGTCCGAGAAGACACGGCCTCAGGACCGGATTTTCCTTCTTGCCGCCCATGGGCCGCCTGTATTTTGCCGACCCCTTCTCATTCATTTTGTAACATCAAAAAAAACCATCAAGGGAACGTGTCAGCGGGGGAGGGGTGCATAAGAAGCGTTTAATCGTGCTGAACACAGTTTTTGGGAAAGCCCTGTCAACACTACTAGCAAAGGTCACGGAACTTCGCGCGAAAGTCAAGTTTCGTAAACCTATCTCTAATGGACAAGGCCTTCCATTCATGAGAAATTAACGAAAAAATTATGAAAGAACAAACACAAAATTTGGTTTAATGTTTTTAACTTCCGCCGTCGCGCCGCGCCGACCGCACCGTGTTTGGCGCAATGCGTGAAGTATGCATGCATTCTTGTAGGCGCTAATATGTGTTACATGCCGATTGCCGCGCCGAGGGATTCTCCTTTTCATCTCAAGTCTTCGTCATCATTTCTCCCTAAGTCACGCCGTTTCAGGCCAAATTGCTGTGTGTTTGGTTTCTCTCTTAACTCGACTAATTAAAGGGGCTGTCTCTTATATCACTGAAAGACGACAAAATTAGAAATTACTATACTCTCAGGAAATGAGAGATTTTGTAGCCTTTTCTCGTTTGTAATTTTTTTTTCTAAATCCAATTTTTTTATACACCTACATTTAAAAAAATTGCGGAATTTGCCGCCCCCTAGATTTGCCGCCATGGGCCGCGGCCCATGTGGCCACTCCCTTAATCCGGCCCTGCAAGGCCTATACATTTTTAAGTGTAATGATGCCGTGTTAAGGAGAAACGCTGTATGAACCTCCGGGCGTTGCCAAATTACCTTAGATAAAACACGAATTTCCCGGTAAACTTGGGAATATTTTTTTTTCGAATTTTCAGGTAATTTTGTTCGCAATTTCACCTATAAAGTTCCTGAAAATTTCAAGGAAAAATATTTATAACCTGCCTCAAAAATAAACATTTTACCAAAGGAAATGTGGCATCTCTCGAATGTTCATACGGCGTTCTTCGTTGGCTCAGCAAGCACCGCGGTTAAACGGAAACCGCGGATATTCCAGCAGTAAGAGACCCACTCTAAAAACCTACCCAAAACGAATTTGTTATTTTTAAACAGAAAACATTTTTTACAGTTTAGCGCGATGGCTGAACTTGGAAATCAGATGCCTCGTTGCAGTCTAGTTGCAGACTTCTCTCCTTGCTTAGTTTTTTTTTATTGTTCACTATTCGATAAAGTTCCTATGAATTATCCAGAATAATTTTTCTCTGCATTGAACATATTCCATGTTTCAGGTGATAAAGTCATTTCATTTCCGCTTGAGAAAATTTAATTAAAGCCAAAATCTTGAAATCAAGATGAGTTTTGAAGACTTTAACCTCCTTGCCTATGCCCCAATAACTCCACAACTCAAGCTTTCCTACCCTTGTATTCATTGAGACTTACAATCAAAAGGTCAAGAAGAGAAAAGGTCAATATCCTTTGATATTAGAAAATGGACTACATTTTTTGATAAGGAACTAAAATTTCTAGCTCAGTTTAGAAACGACATTTGTGCTATTAGTTTCTCTATACAGACAGGTGCTTTCACGGATGGATCAGAAATTTCAGTTCATTCTTGCAAAATGACGTACAAATTTGACTCAGACCAGGACAAGATGAGGACTGAATTCCTATGAGTCCTGCACCTCCTTCTTTGCCGCAGAACACTGCGATGGTTCCTTTCAAAAAGGACAGTCACATTTTAGTTAAAGCTGCTACTTCTCAACTTTTAGCACAGCCCTATCCAGCAGAACATTTTTTAAAATCATTTTTACTTTTGTTTTAATGATGTTATCTTTAGAGAGCTATTGATGAAGAAAAAAAAGTCTAGGAAATGAATATCAACATGACTGAGTTACAAGAAAAATGTTTAATCACATATTAGAAATCATGTTTAAAAATGATTCTATTATTTATAACATTTATATACATATTTTACATACAAGTTTTTGAAAAAAATCATTACATTATGTAGGAGTAAATAAGATAGTTTCAACCTGCCTGATCAAGCAACGAGTTCAAAGATGTTGGAACCCAAAAATTATTATTGTTACAAGCGAACAGAACGTTCTTTTCGATGTATACCATGACATTTCCAACACGATAAATTTGTTTCCCGTCCTTGAACCTGTTTGGTAACGGCATGAATAGGATTCCTTTTTCTTCGCAACGTTTTTGAACCAACTCTCTGAAGCCTTGAGGAACTTGCGATGTTGTTCGTACTGACTCGGCCATATTCTGTGGAAAAAAAGAAGAAAAACGGTTATGAAATTAGCAGAACAAAGAGATCTGAAGAACTCAGGGATCACTTTGAAACTACAAATAGCCATTTTTGAGTGTCGACAAATTCCAGTGGATTTATCGGTTCTTTAAAAAAATCAATGGAATCCAGAATTGAGCTCTCCCAAAATTGATCTTTGATACTTTAAGAGTGAAAATCTCAAACATGTCATAATTTCTGCCAATGCATTCAAACTGTGAACCAAAATTTGAAAATAATCGTTGGATTTTAATATTTTCCGACAAAACGTGCATGGATCAGATTTAAAATCAAAATCAAAGAATTGATACAGTTTTTAAGATTACTTCAGCCAAAAAATGCATGCCTTAAAAAAAAATCATGTTTTAAATAGCTAGTTATTAAATAAATTGATCCAACCAAAAATGGCTTTGTTGATCAATATAACTTAAATTTTAACTATTAACAATTCAAGTTTCTAGAAGATAAGTACTAAAACAAGATAAATTAAACTCAATCAATTTGAAATTGCCATCTTAATTTACGACTTCTTTTACACCTGTAAATTTTATGCCTTCGTGACTCCGCGAGTAGCACACGTATTACTGCAAGCAAGCGGAACTCGTCTAGAGAGCAGAAAATACCGAACACAGTAGCGGAAATGGCGGCAAATTACTTCGTTATACGCGAGGTGCTCCCGCCAAGACTTTGTTAAGGGCTGACTTTTCTACTATTGAGTGTATATGGAGGCACTAGAAAAATGAAAATTACTTCGTTAGATCCGAAACGTCCTTATAAGCAAGTTCGTCATAATCGGGCTCCACTGCAATTGCAGCTTTCATGACTAAACAATTCGTATAACTTGATAACTAAAAAATACCTGATGTCGATTGAAAGTTGCGGTGTTCTGAGAAGGTGGCGGCGGTGGTGAAGGTGGTCCCCCGTCACCTACGGATCTACTCATCATTTCTAGAGCCGACCTAAAATGTTCTGAATAATAAAAACAGTAAAAATTAATTATCAAGTTAAGTTTTAGTTGAGTTAAATTTATTAATGGTCACTATAAATCAGTGAGAAATTTTCCAATGTGTAAACCATAAGTTTTAAATTGTGATCTGCACAGTCAAAAGTGATTTTACAAAACCGTTCATGGCCATAATTTCAGCTTAGTTTGAAGGAAAACAATAAAAAGTCTCACATAGATAATCTCTCTCTTGTTTACTTTAAAAAAACAAATGAACCTTCTACTTACATATATTTTTAAGGTAAAATATTAGAGAATGTAACGTATTGCATAAAACAGAGCGCCAGTCTCACATTATTTTCAACGCATTACAAATATAATGTTGTAAAAAGAGAAAATCCGTAAAAAGGGCATAATTTAATACAATCATAGCATCTTTGGGCTTTTTTAGGCTCTTTTAGATAGAAGATTTCACCTATCAGAACTGCTTTGTTCCTGAAAATTGAAATGAACATTGCCTTCGCATTGACATCAATTACCTTTAACAACTGGTTCATTCATTAAGGTTTCAGGCACTAAGTTTTTCCACCCAGAGTACCAGCGTGAGACCTGGTCGTAGTCTGGATTCATGTTTAGCCAAAGCGTCAGTACTTGAAGCCACTTTGGGAAGAAGCACTTATCAAGTATTGTTGCGATGATAGGTGCAGGTATCAATTTATTCCAATCCATGACCCAATTCCAATTATCTGAAACAGATTCAAAAATGTTAACTACGTCATTTGCATTCCCTTGAGCAAACCAAATGATTACTTACTAATTACAAGTCAGAATTAATTTTTATAGGATCTCCCGCAAACAGTTTAATTCAAAACTTTCTTTGAAATAATTAATCTCAGTTGGCAGCAGGGGAAAATCCGCTTTAACTCAAATTACAAAAAAATAACAAGTTTGGAGCTTCTACCTTGACAAATATCACTCTAATACAAAATTGGCTCTTTTGCACTGATGTAATTAGAAATTTGAAATGCACTACAACTTTATCCACTTTAAATTATTCATAATGAAGATTTATTTTATGGATGGGTGCACTAAATGTAAAAAGAAAATGCTGAAGGCAACTTACCTAAATGCTGTTGATGAGGATTGATAATGAATTCTTGGAGGGCTACGTTCAACTTAGGAACAATGTTATTGACTAGGAAAGCGTCCATTTCTCCCTTGGAGAAAGCTTTAGACCACGGTTCTAACATGAGTCTCGCAGAAGTGTCCGACGGATGCCAATTGACCAGGGCAACACTCAATTTATGCCGAATGATCGGGAATACCGTGGTGGACAAATGTTTTTCCAGGAATATGATCCATGGGTGTATCCACACATGAATCGGAATGGTATCCGTAAGGGGATTCCAGTTTTCAACTTCTAGTTGCAGCTTTGGCAGGATTGTCTGCTGGAGAATGTTATCCAGGATCCATTGTGGTAAAATCGGTACCCAAACTTCTAAAAATTCAACCATTGGATTGGGGTTTCGACAGTTCCAAGAGCTGGAAGGAGAAATAAGAACGAAATAAATTAGCCTTATAATAATAGGATGCGGACAGAATTTTTAAAAAACAAAAATTTTGACCTTTTACAGACTTTTTCCTGACGGTTAGGTCATGCGACCTCTGTCCAGAAACTAATAAGTGTTGAATGGTCATTAATAATTCTGAGAGCACATTTGCCAAACACCCCACTTTGAGAAGAATAATAGCTATAGATTTATTTTTGGGATTTTATGACTAGTGTACTCCTTAAATTGATCACATATTAGATTTTTGATCAGTGATAGGTCAGGAGGTGACTATGACCAAGGGACATACATTGTCTGACCTTGGTTTTTTATTCTTGTTTTTGAACGGCACACTATAAATGCATTTTTCCTTTGTATTTTCAGGTTTCCTCATGAAATGTACATCCATATGTTCAAATTCTCTTAACTTTTGCCTCCATTAAAATATGTACATTGGTTCGGCGAGTAAATTACAAAGACTGATTACGTTAGACTACACCAACAACCACAACCGCTCACCCTGAAGCACTTGATATTTTATGAATTTAAGAGAGCTCCAGTCACTTATAAAAACTATAAAGCATGGTAATTACTTGCTAGTATACTTACGCAATAGCAGTCCTAACAGACGGCATCCATGACTCCCATAATAAAACAGCAAACGGATCTTGAGTGGCTGCCGCTGACAAATAGTGCGTTTTATCCGTTTCCACTAAACTTCTCCATTTCTTGAACAATTCTAAAGGTTCTTCGGGATCTTCTAATGGCTCCCAGGTTTTTAAGTTTTCTTTGATTACTGGTAAGAGAATTGTCGTCGTCAACGTTGCTACTTCATACATTTGATAATCAGACATATTGCTTTCCTGCAAGAGAAAAATACAGCAAGTGTAAAAAACAATTCACCTTTGAGAGCTAAATGAATCATGTAATTAGGATTAATACTTCGTAATTAATATTTTGTTTAATCGAATAAAAGTTTAAAAGAAGTGAATACTTTAATAACAAAACAAAAGTTTATATTTTATTTTATTTAGTTTTGGAAAATGTGCACAGAAGAACAAAGAAGAATTAATTAACTGTTTGACGAGTTTTTTTTTTTATTTTTTATAATTTTTTATTTTTTTATTCTCTTGTATAACAAAATTAAACTTTCTCTGAAAATCCTTCGCTTTAAATTTGGGAATAGAAATGTAAATTGAAAGAGTTCAAACCTGCAGCTGCTTCAGTGATGCTACAGCTTGATCCACAGTCAAGGCTTTCTTTTCTGCTGCTTCGACAAAAGTTTCGATAGTCTTCAGAATTTTGGATAATGACTCTATACTGGATTCTTGTTGCACAAGCTTTTTATCCAACTTAGTGACCTCTTGCTCAATTGTTACGATCCTATCTTCAGAATACCTCATTTTTTTGTCATTTTCGATGATACTCTGCACAAAAGGGAAATAACAGATTAGCATATTCCTACCAGTGGTTCACATATTATTGTTGACTTGTTAATCCTTGCACCAGTCATGTATTTGAGGCATTGGGTGCAGAAAAGACACTTGTTCCTTGCAGTACTTCAGATTCTGTAAAGGAGCGCAAAGAAGGCTTTTTCTGGAATTTATTGGTTAGAATATCAAGAGGCTGTAAGGAATATCCAATAAAAGTTTCGATGAAATGTATGCATTTTCTTTCCCTGTAATAAATGAAACGTTGGTAGAGATTCTGAGACACTGCAAACGAGAAAAGCCCTTTTCGTACCCAGCACTTCAGTTGCTCTCACAGTTCTAAGTATCCCCAAATCAACGCACATTTGCATACTACCATGACTATGGTAGCCTAGCCAAAAACGAGTAGCAAAAAAAGAGTTAACATAAGTTTAGAATTACTTATCTTGCTGATAAGCACTTGCCTTACACTCTCCTTTGAGCAAACTGAACAACTAAGCAGTTTAAAAGCAACTTCTAAAAAAAAAAAATTCTGAGCGGTAAGGAAAATCTCTGAACTTCCCCTCGATTTTAGACTTGTCATTGGAATATCTGACTTTTATGGGACATTCAACAGTTTTTAAATCTTCATACAATCTGTTGGATTGTTCTTGCAAAAAAATTATACTGCAGAAAAGATCAATCACTATACTTAAATCAACCAAAAGGAAAATGGTCGGTATGACTCTTTTAGCAGGCAACTTGTTAAAAAGTGCCTACTGACAATGAAAATACAAAAATGCCTATCTTGGTTGCAGTGTTTCAAAATCTCAGCTCCTATTTTGTAAGTGAAGCATAAGAGGAAGTTTGCAACACTGCAAGATACGCATTCCTGCAGTTTTATCATCAATATGTCTTTATTTCCAAACCTCAAGATGTTATTTTCAAATTTTTTGATCATAGAAAGACACAAAAAAATTACCTGTTCACACATGTCTACAAGCAGGTTGAGATTATGCTGGAGCTCCGGCACAGAAAAATTGACGAATTGCTTGTCTTTCCGTATTTCCCACTGGTCTGTTGGTCGTTGAACTCCTGAAATAGCATGGTAACCAGATAGAATCCTTTGCTCGGGTCCTGTCATATCAATAACTTTTACTTTACTTAATTCACTGCAACAAAAATGAACAATGTAAGTATTGAAGTAAACTTGGGGAACTGCTACAGCAAAACTAGACCAATGAAGTGCGGTAATTTACGATCAACAGTTCTGTTGTGCTACAGAAAAACGCTGTATGAACCTTCAAGCGTAGCCAGATTTCCTTGGATAAATCACTAATTTCCAGGAAAATTTTTGCATGTTTTCCTTCCAATTTCTCAGAGAATTTTGTTTGTAATTTGATCTAAAGGGTCAGTCCATTGTAACGGGCCGGACAACCGCACGCCTTTGAGTAATAAAGAAATGAATTTAAAATCACATAAATTTAAAATAAATTGTACCAGTAGATAGAGCTCAGTGTGTTATTTCCAAAAGTGTACGAACTTACTTTTTTGTTTTAATTTTTAAGGGAGTTATACCAAAAATAGAGCCGTAACGGGACGGACAGTTTTTGGAAGTGAGTTTTGACTCCCTTGAGAAAATTGAATAACTCAGCGAATTTTACCATGTAAAAAATCCACAAAAAATGTATATAGTCCTCAAGGG